AAGAAAAGTCGGAAATAAATCCTCTGGTGTTGTAACCCTGATGTTCATGAGCTCTTTTGTAGTTAAGGAGCTCCGGGTACCATTGCAAAAAACAGAATTAAAACACAAAATAAAACAAACCAACATGCACCAACACACAGAGGCAACCATCCGCGGCGCCATCTTGATGTAAATATCATCAAGAACATTATTAAATGTTGACCCTGTTTGGCCCTCGACATAGTCCCAGTTTTTAATTTTAGCCCTCTCTGTGATTGAGTTTGACACCACTGGTCTAGAAGGATGAGGACAGAGGAGAGAGAGGCTGCTCTAGCAGTGTGAAGTTGGTCGGAGACAGCAAGGGGGGAATTCTCAGTTGAGTGGCCTGCCTTGAAACCAGAATGGTGAGGATCAACAAGATTGTTATGGTGAATATAGGAGGAGAGTTGATTGAAGATAGCATGCTCAAGTGCTCTGGAAAGAAAAGGAAGAAGAGAGAGAGGTCTGTAGTTGTTTACTTCAGATGAGTTGAAGGTGGGTTTCTTCAGGAGAGGGTTTACTCTTGCCTCCTTAAGAGACTTAGGGAAACAGCCAGTTAGCAGGGAAGTGTTAATGAGATGGATGAGAAAAGGAAGGCCTGGAGCAATAGATTGGAGAATGTGAGAGGGATGGGGTCAAGGGGACAGGTGGTTGGGCAGGCGGAGGTTACCAGGGTAAGAACCTGATTGGAAGACAGGAGGGTGAAAGAGGAAAGAGAAGGGGATGAAGATGAAGTTGATGGAAATGTAGTTACAGAAGGAGTTTGAAAATGAAGAGTGTATGTCATGTAACTTTTTTGTGAAGTAGTTGACAAAGTGGCTTGGTAGAATGGTAGGAAGAGGGGGACTGGGGGGGTCAAGGAGGTTGGAAAATATTTTTTGGCTGCAGAAATAGAGGCAGAGAAGGAGCACAGAAGATATTGATAAGTGAGCAGTTCATCAGGGTGTCTAGAATTTCACCATTTCCTTTCTGAAGCTCACATAGTGGCTTTGTCAGTTGTACCTGATGAGTTACTGCATGAAATTCAAAAGACAATGAGGTAGCAGCCCCAAACTCCATTTGGTTGTGATGAGTAAATCTGTACCACCATCCCTACCAGTGGGTCTGGGTGTGTGGGTGAAAGAGTAAACAGAGGAGAGAGCAGCAGGGGTTGATATATTGGCTGGTGTGATCCAGGTTTCAGTAAGAGCTATTAATAACAATAATGTTATTAATAATGGATTAATACAATTATTGTAATGATGATATGGGTTATTTGCCACATCATTTTCTATGGAGAGCTGTGTGAAAGACTAGCACTATTGCATTATATACTGAAAAAATATTTAATGATGTACATCTTTTGAAAGCAAACATTTTATTAGCAGTAAAACAAAGGAACTGGAATGTTTTTCCACCTCTGTGACACCAACCTCCACATTACGGTGGAATAAACCATGACACAGAGAAACTACTGCCCCTGTAAATACTCTAGTCACATACATCAGTCTCTTGCTTCTGACTGTGCTTTCATCATTGTCCAAGATCAAAACCTTTCATGATTCCTCAAGTAGCAAAGTGGATACATGAAAGAAAAATCTAAGGATTGTTACTAATAGGAGATACTTAAAACACAATGGATCCAAAGATTTCAACATTAGAATTTATACCATGTTTGAAGAAAAAGAGCGAGCAGAGAGGATAAGGAAAAAAAACCTCTCCAACACAGTGGTGGCACTGGGTACATTTCAATAGCAGAGGAATGCTTTCACTCTAAACCCTGCCCTCACACTCAAATTGTTGCTTGAACAATTTCGGGTGGATGCATGCACAGATAGACATGAACAAAATATTGAAGTCGGGATTTACCATTCCATTTAAATCACAATCTCCCCCAAAACTGCAGCTGTTATCAAGGCGCCACTCTTCTTTCTCACCCTCTCTTTGCATCTGCCTCAAGCTTTTTGACAGTGACAACCAGTTAAAACAAGAAATAACAGCCTGTGATCTTTACAAGCATTACTCTTTCTCAGACTGACCAGAAATGTACACAATCCAAACATGTTTGTGGAAAGATCTAATAATCTAGAAAGTATCCAGTCACTCACTGGTTGCACTTACAGAACATAACAATAAAGCAAATACCAGGTAACAGAAAGAACACTAATATTGTTTTTTCCCCCAACATGTAATATTCTCATGTGATCTGTATATAGTAGGAG